CAAGGAGCTCGTACGACTAGACTTTTTTGTACTTGTATGTTGCAATTCAAGCACATATACTTCAATATATCTATTTTGAGTACAAGTGAAACAATCTATACACATCTATACAAATTTTATCTAAAATAAATAGTTGAACCTACATGTGCACTATTCCTAAATATATATCATAAGAATTTTTTTATACGTCAATTTTAGGGAGCTCGTGAGACTAAACTGTTTGTACTAAAATGCTGTAATTTGTATAAATTGTCCTTTGATATATTTATTTAAGTATCAAGTACAAAAATCGCTTGATTTTTATTCGCATAATTAGTGATAAATAATAATTTAACAAATGTGTACCATGCGCTCTATGCAAGTTTATGTAGTTGTACTACTGGAGTATGAAATTTCCAAAACGCTATTTTCAAGGAGCTCGTACGACTAGACTTTTTGAACTAAAATGCTGTAATTTGGGTATATTGTACTTTGATATATCTATTTTGAGTACAAAAATCTATGCACATCTATACAAATTTTATCAAAAATAGATAATTGAATCTACTTGTGCACTATTCCTAATATATATAATTGGAATTTATTATACGTCATTTTTAGGGAGCTCGTGAGACTACAATAATTGTACCCAAATGCTGTAATTTGTGCAAATTGTACTTTGATATATCTATTTAAGTATCGAGTACAAAAATCGCTAGATTTTTATTCGCATAATTAGTAATAAATAAAAATTTAAACAAATGTGCACCGTGCGTTCTATACAAGTTTTATATACTTGTTCTACTGGAGTATGAAATTTTCAAAATGCTATTTTCAAGGAGCTCGTACGACTAGACTTTTTATACTAGATGTTGTAATTCAAGCACAATATGCCTTAATATATCAATTTCGAGTACAACTAAAAAATCTATATATGTTTATACAATTTTATCAAAAAATAAATAATTGAACCAACATTATTCCTAATACTAAATATATCATTGGAATTTGTTATACGTCATTTTTAGGGAGCTCGTGAGACTACACTAATTGTACCCAAATGCTGTAATTTATATAAATTGTACTTTGATATATGTATATAAGTATCGAGTACAAAAATTGCTAGATTTTTTCGCATAATTAGTAATAGATAAGAATTTAACAAATGTGCACCATGCGTTCTATACAAGTATACATAGTTTTACTACTGGATATGAAATTTCCAAATGCTATTTTTAAGGAGCTCGTAAGACTAGATTTTTTGTACTAAGATGTTGTGATTCAAGTACAATATACTTTAATATATCAATTTAGAGTATAGCTAAAAAATCCATATACCTCTTTACATTTTATCAAAAATAAATAATTGAACCTTCATGTGCACTATTCCTAATATATATAATTGGAATTTGTTATACGTCATTTTTAGGGAGCTCGTGAGACTACACTGCTTGTACTCAAATGCTGTATTTTGTACAAATTGTACTTTGATATATGTATATAAGTATCCAGTAAAAAAACGCAAGATTTTTGTTTGCAAAATTAGTAATAAATAAAATTTAATAAATGTGCACCATCCACAAGTATATATAGTTCTACTACTAGAGTATGAAATTTCCAAAATGTCATTTTCAAGGAGCTCGTACGACCAGACTATTCATACTAGAAAGCTATAATTTTACAAAATAATACTTTAACATATCTAGTATTACATTTCTATTCTATTTCCATTTACAAATTTAATTCAATTCCGGGGGGCTCATTACTCCGGTGGGTGCTCCTTCGGTGGGGTATCTTGTCGAACAATTGTTTGTAGCTCGTGTTGTAGCAAACAATAGCTACAATATAGCTATTGTCTGTTTGTTCGGTGCACGGATTTCTGTTCTATACGAACAAAAACCCACCGTCCTTATATAGTAGAGAATAGAGATTATAATGGGAAAATCGTATTGAGCCATTGTAGGGCTAAATAATATATATAGAAAGTATATGAGGATATTTCTGTTATTGATTTGTTTGTAAATATGGAAACACAATATGGAAACATAAAAGTAGTGATTTTTGTATTTTAGAGCAATGTAGAGATATTCAAGTATAATATACTTTAATTACAGTATATTAGTACTAATAGTCTAGTCTTACAAGCTCCTTAAAAATAGCACTTTTGAAATTTTATATAATATTTTTATACGAATCATTGGCCTAGTCCACTTTATTGAATTTTTTTTATTACTCATTATCTGATTAAAATTCTAGTAATTTTTATATTTGAAATTTAAATAGATATACTCGTATATAATATACTGTAATTACAGCATTCTAGTACAAACAGCCTAGTCCTACGAGCTCCTCAAAAACAGCAATTAATATATACATAAATTAGGGTGAAAACAGTTATGTTTATATTTATTACTAATTATACGAATATAAATCTTGTATTTTTTCTATATTGTATTAAAATAGAGATATCAAAGTACAATTTACATAAATTACAGCAACTTAGTACGAACGGTTTAGTCTGAAGAGCTTTCTGAAATCGTCATTATAAAATACTATTGCCAGTGTAAATAAATTAAATAATTTTTGTCCCATGTTTAGGTTTTAAGTTGATATTTTCCTGATATAACATAACTTCAGTTCTTAATTGAGTTGATATTAATATTTTCAGGCCTAAACTAATTCACTTTCAGGTTTTAATTTAATATCTTTAATCTTCAGATAATTGTTTTTACTAATATAATAAATAAAATTAGAGTTGGGAGTGAAATAATTCAATTTCAGGTTTTAAATGTATATTTTAGGTTAATGTATTAGATTTTCAGTTATATATTTTTGTTAACTTAAGTAAATAAAATAATATTTTTACAAAATTAAATTGCTTAAAGTACTCAATTTAACACTTTTTGTTAAAATAAATGAAAAAGAGATAATAATTTTAATAAGTAGTAAAAAATCAGGTCCAAAATAAACTAATTTCAAGCTGTAAATTTATATTTTTCCAAATATTAATAAATAAGGATAAAATCAAGCTCTAAATATCATAACTTGAACTCCAAACAAAATAAATAAATTAGTATTTAGTCTAGACCATATAATATTAAAACTTTTATTTATATAAATATACACAGGTAAAATCAAGACTATAATATGTTTATTTCAGGCTTTAAATTACTAAGTAATGGTTTCAGGTTTTAAATTTTTATTTTTTCTAAATATTAATAATCTGAGAATGGCAATCGTAATCAAAATAAATTAATTGAGACTTCAAATTAAGTATAATATGTAAATAAATTGTTTTCAGGTTGATATCAGGCCTTAAATCAATTTTTTTTTAAAAACATTTCAGATTTAATTAATTTCTTAAATTAAATAAAAAGAATAAACTCAGGTATTATGTTAAATGTAGGTCACATTACATGCTTTTTGTAAATTTAAATAAATCATGTTAAAATTAAGATATTTTCAGGCTATAAATCAATATTATTGTTTTGTATAAGATGATATTACAATGTAGTCAGTACCAGGCCTTAAACTTGCAATTTCACAAATAAACATTACAAAAAACTTCAAACTAAATTATGTAATTTAATCATTTTCTGGACTTCATTTAGTTAATTCAAGGTCTTAAATTTATAATATCAAAATTTAGATATTTAAGTATTTTAGGCACTTTAGATATAAAATTGGTATTATTTATGACTCATATTAATAAATAAAAATATGTTGAAATACTGAAAATAGAAATTACAGACATTATTAAAATATATAAATAAATTGTTTTCTGGCATATTCAGGTTAATTTTAGGTCTTGAATCAACATATTTGATTTTTTTTAAAAAATGTAATGAATAGTCCTGATTTAATTATGTTGATTTTAAGTTAATAAATCAAAATTGTATTAATTTTAATGAATCAGGTTAAAATTCAGACTATAAATTAATACTTTCTTAGTAAATTAAATTAATTAACAGGCACTTAGACTTGCGCATTTTCATAAATACTCAGAATAAAAAAATAAAAAAAAATCAATTAAACAGTGTTAAACTTTCAGGTCTTTTTTGAGTTCATTTCAGGTCTTAAATAAAATTATCGGAATTGAAGTGTTTAAAATGATTTCAAATGTAGTATTGCATTTAAAATAAATGTTTTGGTTATTTAAAATAGATAAATCAAATTCAGGTTTTGTTTGAGTTGACTTCAGGTCTTAAATGTCATTGTTGAAATTAACCATAGTTTCAAGTTTAAAATTAATACTATATATAAAGAAAGTTACTAAATATAAAACCAGACATTTCAGGCCTTAAATCGTTATTTCCAAAATTGGAACAAATATATAGATATATATTTATATATTTATGTGTCAATGTATTATGCAGAGTATATATTTATGCGTATATCCACGTCCATATATCAAATATATGCGCATATTCTCGCATAGTGTATAATACACAATGTATAATATAATGTCTTTGTAGAAAACATATTGTAGCAGCATGAAAATGGAAAATTCTACAAAACCCATTGTGAAAATCTCTTTATGTCGCGCACAACAATCCATTTTCTATATTTCTCTGCACGACCATCTCTATTTTTTCTCTCTCCGAAACCCACCATCTATTCAAATAGACCAATGGGAATGCTGCATTGTGCGCAACCCTCCACCAATTGGAAGGGGCGGCGATGTAAAGCAACCCGGGGGTAAGGGATGGCGATATAGGTAGACAAAGGTGAGACAGAGATGGGGATATTAGTGGTGTACGCCTAAAATGGGCGTCGATGTACCTGATGGTTGAAACAGGTACGACTATAGAGTTGAAAGATTCAGTATTATTCTGGCCATTGTGACAGACGCATGTGTTTAAATAAAAAAAAATAAAATAAAAGCAGTGATTATGCCACAATAGGGACAAAGCAATAATAGACTTCAAAGACGACAGTGACGTTCTGTGTTTAAATTAAAATATACAAGTGCTTTAAATTTAAGTTTTAATGTGATATGATTAAAAACACTAGTGCTAAAAATGTCGATCCTTAACTCAACCACAATGCACCAACAAAACTCCTACGGTTACCACAACATCGAACACTTGGCCAACCCTTCATCGAACCACCAACAATTAGTAGACAACAACCACTTGTCACCTTACCATTTAAATAACAACAAAAAAGACTCCTCTACTACCCCTAATAGTGACATCCACCAAGATGACAGATGTCAGTCCCAACAGCAACATTTCGGTCACCTTTCCAACCATCTGCCGTCTGTCAGCGGTCATTTGACCGCCAATTCGGCACCTGGGCATCTCACGATGGCCGCTGGCGGTCAACATCATATGGGGACGGGGGTTGGTGGTCATAATGGCCAGAGTTTGGCTGGTCAGGGCCAGGAGGGACATATTAAAAGGCCAATGAACGCTTTTATGGTCTGGTCCAGGCTGCAGAGGAGGCAGATTGCTAAGGATAATCCTAAGATGCACAATAGCGAGATTTCGAAACGATTAGGTAAGTGGAAATACTAAAATTTTGCTATTAGCTCCTTAAAATTAGGCATTAATCTACACACATTAAGCTATGACATACTGTATTTATAACATTTTAGTAAAATCGGTGTAGCTTTACAAGCTCGTTAAAAACGCATATTAAACTAATGCACTAAAGTTAAAAATTATATTGCGGCCCATATGTTGTTTGGGTACACTTTTGTACAGAATCGTGAATTACAAGAAAAGTATACGTGATTTTATAATTTTGAAAATTAAGTAATTCTAGCTTACAATTGGTATGACATACTATAATTTTAGCATTCATATTTAATCAGTGTAGTCTTAGGAGCTCGTTAAAAACACGTATTGCACCAATGCACTTATGAAATTTATATTGCGGTCCAGGGGTACATTTTTGTACTAAATCGTAAATTACTCAAAAATTAGATGCATTTTTTTTTAATTTAGGCAATAATATAAATACAATAAGGTATGACGTACTGTAATTATAACATTCTAGTACAATCGGTATAGTCTTACGAGCTCGTTTAAAATGCATTTTGTATCAATGAGTAATTTAAAGTAAAATTTTATATGCGGCCCATATGTTGTTTGAGTACATTTTCCTACTAAATCGTTAATTACGGGAAAAGTAGATTAGATTTCGTAATTTTGAAAATTAGGCAAAAATGTACATATATTGAGTTAAAACATACGGTAATTATAGCCTCTACATTCTACAATAATCGGTGTAGCCTTAAAATCGGAGCTCGCTAAAAATGCAGCTTGTATTAATGAGTAAGTTACAGTAAAACTTTTATTGCGGTCCAGGTACATTTTTTAACTAAATCGTGAATTTCTCGAAAATTAGTAGGAATTTCAAAATTTTGAAAACTAGACATTAATGTCCATATCTCAAGCTATAACATATTATAATTATAGCACTATAGTATAACCCGTATAGCCTTACGAGCTCGTGAAAAACACTTTATAGTATCATTTTATAATAAATAAAGAGTGGATCAGATACAATTTCGTACATTTTTGTCAATTTCTAGCAAACTATTGATATATTGAGTAATAACATACTGTATTTTTAGATTTATAGTACATAAAATGTTGCATTACGAGCTCGTTAAAAACTGATATTCAAACATTTGTACATAGTTTCGAACAAAATCAAACAAATCTACCTACAAATTACATAAAAATATGCATTTTTGTCAAATTTTGGTCAAAGTATATAAATTAGCTATGACATACTATAATTACAGCATTCTAGTATAAAAAGTCTGGCCTTATAAGCTCATCAAAAACTTTACAAATTATAATTCGTTCCAAAAAGGCCCGACGCAATTATATAAATAAATCATAAATATAATACAAAAATGTTTATATAAATATATAAAATATAATCATAATATAAGTATAAATAACATGCAAAATTCAGATTTAGTTTAATAATACATTTTACGATTTTGAATAAAAAAACGAACTCAAAAATCAACAAAGTATTTTGTAAAAAGTATCATTTATTATGAATATGTTTGACGAGCCCCTAAGGGCGTACGGTTCGAGCAAAAATATGAATATTTTAGTATAGTTTAGTTGAATATATGTACTTTAATGATAACATAAAAAAATATAATTTTAATTTTTGTTTGCTATTAATTAATAATAAGTTTGAAGTATGCACTCATCCGTCCGACGTTAATTTCAAAACCAAATTAGACATTACTTAGTTTTGGTGTATACTAAATTTCAACAAGCTCGTAAGACTACACTGGTTGTACTAGAATGCTGTAAATGCAGTATGTTATTGCTGTATATATGCAAATTAATATGTGATTAACAAAAATTTATATTTTTATATATTTTGCTAGTTAAAAATAATTTTATACAAAATTGTACCCGCGCGTTTCTCATTTTGGTACAAATTTATGTTTTCTATAAAATTCATTTTCAAGGAGCTCGTAAGACTACACTCTTTATACTACAAATTTATAATTCTAGTATGTTATTTCTGAATATAGATAAATTAGCCACAAATTATAAAAAATACATATTTCAATGCACTTAATAATTACTAATTTTGTTCACAAATACACCCTCGACATGCGACAAATTTTACAAATATTTATTTTAATATTTTAGAACGAAATTATATAGTATATAATTATATATAGAAGTTATATAGTATGCCGAGTTGGTCTAGACAATTTTGTTGTTAGAAATTTTGTAACTTATTTAATTTTAAACAAATTTGTCTTATACATTGTTCATGTTAAAGAAATGTGCATTCTCAAACGCGCTCCTTGCAATTCTTGAGTTTCAAAAGCAATTTTAGGGTATACCTAAATGCTGTAGAGGTTCAAAATATTAGACAAAATTATAAACTATTTAATTTTTTTAATTCACACAAACGGTTCAAAAGTTACAAAAGATATAATAAATAAATGCACAAACAAAGTCACAACACCAAACATTGCAATATTCATTTTATTTACAAATAACAGCATCATTAACTATTATTAGTACAGTGGGCCAACAACATATGTCCCATTATACCAAATATAATTTTAAAATATTTCTCCAGCTAATAATAGTTTAAATAAACAATAATTTTTAGATTTTCCCGTCGTTGTGCAAGGTTGTTGTCATACATGTTAATTATGTTCATAGTTTACATTGTCATTTAGAACATTTCGGAATACTTTATTTTTTGTCGTGACGACTAAATTTTTTGTCGACGACTCTGAATTTGTTTAAACAATTATACGGAAGATGTTAAATAATTTAAAATTTAAATTAACGACATTCGGGGGAAAAGAAATCTTCATTTTGCCAACAGATGTAAAGGACTGAAAAATGCAAATATTTATTATATGACTTATAATTTTTAAATGGGTTTGATGTGAACGGAATATTTGGGAAATATGTCCTATAATAAATAAGTTGTAAGGTTGTTTAATATTTGAAACCTCTACAGCAACTCGGTATACTTTAAAATTGCATTTGAATATTAACATACAATCCTGATGTATTTGTACTGTGGGATTTAAAGTTGTATGTGCATTTGTTTGTTATATCGTTTGTAACTTTTAAAGGGTTTGTTTAAAACAAATAAAATATTCGGCAAATTTGTATAAAATTAAATAGTCTGTAATTTTGTTTAACATTATGTTGCTCTACAGAAACTCGTTATACTTTAAAATAGCATTAGAAACTGTAGATTGTATACGAGCATGCTGAAAGTACATTTATCTACAAAATTATTTATAACTACTTTTTGGTGGAACATAAATGGTATATTTGGGTAATATATTTAAATATAAATTTATAACATTATCGGCTAACACTATAATGTCCAATAATAAAATTAATAAATAAAAGTTGTGAATAATAAAAATAATACTAGAAAAACAATAAAGTGGAATAAAAACAATAAGTGACAGATAATAATAAATATAACAAAATAACAATATTATAAATAATACAATAATAATACAATAATAATAATATTAATATTAGCGTTTAAAATCACTTTTAAATTTAACATGTTTTTTCTCATATATTTTCTAATATATTAAAAATAAATTTAATTATTCAAAATTGACACAAAATATATTATGAACTTTTGTTTAAAAATACTTTTATTTTATTTTTTGACAGTACACTAGTTAATATATTATTTATTTTTTATTATACTTCGTAAAATTATTTATAAATGAACACAAATTATTTTCCCTAGATTTTGCGTTTGCACGTTAACCTAAAACGAAGGGTCGGTCCAGGTTGCGTGCACTTTTAGGGAAAAACTTGCCTAACACCATATTTATAATAAATAATTTTTTTAAATTTAATGTAATAAATATAAATATTGTAATTTGTTATAACTGTTAAATAATTCAACATCTAGTAACAATAATGAACGATAATATAAATTTAAACTAAAAGAGTACAAAGGATAGTATTTACATTAAAATGATATCCGTATGATGATTTAATATAAAATAAAAGCAAATAATAATAATAATAAAATTGATAAATAAAATAATAGACAAAATATAAGAGCTTATGAATTGGACGTCGAGGTTTATATATGTTTACATGAAAAGTTAAACAAAACTTAATTAATCGGATTTAAAATGAAGGACATTGTCTAATATTTATAAGAAATATTTAAACTGAATTGCGTAAAAATTGATTAAAATCGTTACTTATAGTGATTACGTAACGTGCAGACGTTATTTTTACTTAATATTAAATACCAAAGAATAGAAATCTATATTAGATGATTTCTTTTAATTACAATATTTGTTACAACTGTTAAATAATTTAACATCTAGTAACAATAATGAACGATAACATAAATTTAAATTTAAAAAAGTACAAAATAAAGGATAGTATTTTCATTAAAATGATATCCGGGGTATGATGATTTAATATAAAAAAATTTGTATCCGCACATACATACACACACGTACATACATACATACATACATACACACACACACACACACACACACACACATACATCCTTTTTTCTAAGGTATGCCAAAATGTTCAGAAACCTCTGAAACGTAAAGATATGTAAAAATTTTCATTTTCGATTTTTTTGCGATTACTATAACTTGTCCTACGGGAAGTTAATAAAAGCAAATAATAATATTAATAAAAATTAATATAAATAAATAAAATAAATAAAATTTTTGGATAATAAAAATTATTCTAGAAAAACAGTAAAGAGGAATAAAAACAATTAGTGACAAATAATAATAAATAAAACAAAATAACAATATTAAAAATAGTAAGATAAAAAAATAAGAATAAAATTAATAAAAATAAATAAAATTTCTGAATAAAATATAATAGTCCATGATGTCAAAAATAATCAGTAAATTTCTCATAAATCCATTACCCCAATTTTTCTAATTTTTAACTTCCCGAAGGAGAAGTTTATGTTTTCATCAAAAAATCCGAATCGCTAATTTTATGTTTTCTCGACGTTTCGAGCCATTCTGAATCGAATGAGACCAAATTTGGAAAAAGTATGTGTGTGTGTGTGTGTGTGTGTGTGTGTGTGTGTGTGTGTGTGTGTGAACAGATTTTTTGCCGTAAATCGACGTTTTTTCTCCAAAACGGTTGGACCGATTTCAAAAATTTAAAAGCCATTTGATGTATCTCGATGAGGACTATCGTCTCTGAGTTTTGTGCGGCGATCGGCCGGGCCGTTTCTTTGTAAATTGCAGAAAAGTGAAAATTTTTCGTTCACGTTTTAGCCCGCAATTCTGAATCGATCTGAAAATTCAAAAACCGTTCGATAGATATTGGTTGGGAATCGTGCTGATTAGTTTTTGGTAAAGATCGGCCGGGCCGTTTTCTTGTAATAAAGTTTTTAAAAAAAAAATTTTGACGATTTTTATGATTATTTTTTTGACGATAGATACCATAGTTTTCTAGGTCATACTAAAATATTACGGTCCTACGACAACTGGTTCAGCTTTAAGAATTCGTCAAAGTTTGCAAAAATCAGTATGGTCTTTTTGGCATTTGTCAAAATTAGACTTTTGATCGACGTTTTCTCAAAAACGCCTGAACCGATTTTAGAAATTTAAAAGCCATTTGATGTATTTCGGTGAGGACTATTGTTTTGTCAGTTTTGCAACGATCTGCCGAGCCGTTTCTTTGTAATTTGAAAAAAAGTGTTGAAATTTTCGTCCACATTTAAGCTCATCCTACCGAACCGATTTAAAAAAATCAAAAACTGTTCGAAAGATATTAGTTGGGAATGATGCTGATTAATTTTAGGTGAAAATCTACCGAGCCGTTTTCTTGTAATTAACTGTTGAAAAAAAGTGTTAAATTTTCGTCCACATTTAAGCTCATCCTACCGAACCGATTTTGAAAAATCAAAAACTGTTCGAAAGATATCATTTGGGAATGATGCTGATTAATTTTAGGTGAAAATCCACCGAGCCGTTTTCTTGTAATTAACTGTTAAAAAAAAATTTAAGCCGTTTTTCATGGAACTTTTTTTGGCGATATACATCATGGTCTTATAGAACTTACTGTAATATTACGGCCTTACGACAAGTAGTTTAATTTTAAAAATTCGTCAAACTTTGCTAAAATTATTATCGTTTTTTTTCAAAGTAGGATTGATGAAGTATATTATTTACACATTTTTTTGATCAAGTCGATTATTTACACATATCGGGAAGTTCATGTAATTTGCCTCAAGGCTAAATACCAAACCAACTAGTTTTCTTTTTTTCCAGGTGCCGAATGGAAACTCCTGACAGAGTCCCAAAAGCGGCCCTTCATCGACGAAGCAAAACGGCTGCGAGCCCTGCACATGAAAGATCACCCCGACTACAAATACCGGCCACGTCGCAAACCCAAAAACCCACTTCAGATAACCCATCCCCATCAGCAGGCCTATCATCCTCACCAGAAGACCTTACCAGGTCATCCTGGTAACCCGGCAGCAGGCGGTTTCCCATCCTTCGCCCTGCCTTATTTCTCAGGGCCACAAATTTTAGGGGATCCTTACAGGCCGTATTTCGGGTCTTTGGATCCGGTGGCCCATTTTTCGCAGCTGATGCAGGCCGATCCGGCCAAAACTCTGAGTCTGTACTCTACTTTGTACCAGGGCCAACAGGCGACACCAACTTCGGCGTTGACTTCTGGGACATCGACGGCGACTTCGATGAGATCGCCTTATTTTACGGGTAACTCGAATTTGTACCCAGGATTCACGGGAAGTCCCGGGGCCAGTCCTGGGTCTAGCCCTGGCAGCCAGGATAATAATAATCACTTAAGACAACAAGGGCAGATACAACAGTTTCCAATGGATAACAACGTTGTGGCCAATGGCCAAATCAATGGCCAACAGTTGACCAATCCTCAGGATCTTAAACAGGAGTTTAAATTCGATGCTCTGAGGAGGCCGGTACCTGTTTTGTATTAATTTTTGTTTTTAGTTGTGATTTTGTAAATATTGACTTTAGTTGATCATATGCTAGTAACATAGTTAGATTTTTTCGTGCAACTGGTGATCTTATCTCATAAATTAAAAATCTTATCTTCGTAAATTGTCTAAATATCCTCGAAATGGATTTTGGCAAAATTTGGTTGACTTCAATTTTTTTACCAAATTTTGAATAAATTTTCATAATTGACCCTAAATTTTTGACTAAATTTTGGGTAAATTTTCATAAAAAATTGATTCTTTTATTTTTTGACTAAATTTTCGTGAAAAATTGATTCTTTTATTTTTTTATTAAATTTTGGGTAAATTTTCGTGAAAAAATTGACCCTTAATTTTTGACTAAATTTTGGTAAATTTTCGTAAAAAACTGACTTTTATTTTTTGGATAAATTTTGGTAAAAAAACTGAATTCTTTATTTTTTGGGTAAATTTTGGTCAAAAAACTGACCTTTATTTTTTGGGTAAATTTTCGTGGAAAAACTGAATTCTTTATTTTTTGGCCTAATTTTGCACAAATCCATTCAAATTCCCAAAATGTATATACGTTTGTAATTATCCATGTAATTATTTTGTTTCTTGAAATTGTATCAGTGCTGTGCAACTGTTACACTAAACGGGTCACTTTCAAAAAGCGGTCAAGTTTTTTTTTATTAAATTAAATTTATTTATATTATTAAATACAAAAATGCAAAATTTTTCATTAGCAATTTTTTTTTAATAAATTATTTATTTTAGCCTTAAATTTATCAATATGTCAAAATTTAAGGCCTGAAATCAAATTGAATCCTGAATTTTATTATTCTCTTCATTTTTTTTAAATTGATGATTTTGCATTCGTTCCTTCTTATTTTTGGCAAAATTATGAATTTGAGGCCTGAAATTAATTAAATTATTTATTTAAATTAAAGTTTTTTAAGTTTTAAATTTTTTGTCGAACTTTATTTTTATCTAATTTTTTTTACTTGTATAACATATTTTTTTAAAATAATTATTTTTACCTTTAGGCCTTAAAATAAACAATTTTTTTCGGCTTGAATAATTTGAAACTGGTCTCAAACCATATCTAAATTTTAAAAATATCATTTCAGGCTTGAAATCTACATATTTGCTAACAGACATAATTTTCTTTTATATAATTTAAGGAAAATAATTATTTAAGGCCTGAATAAATAAAGCAAATTCTGACTTAAAATTCATATTTAAAAAAAAATGAAAAAAATGTAGATTTTTTATTATATAAATTGATTTCAAGTCTTAAATTAATATATTATTAAATTGCAGAAATAAATTAATTTAATACAAAAAATTAAATTAAATTAAATTAATTAATTTATTCAGGCCTTAAATATTTTTTTTTTTTTGAAATTATTTAAAATAAATTAAATCTTTCAGCAAATATGTTGATTTAAAGCCTGAAATGATATTTTTAAAATTTCAATGTATTTTCAGACCTGAAATTTGTTAAAATTTAATTTTTAAATTTCAGGCCTTAAATTATTATATTTGTTCATGAAATAAAAAATAACTCTTTTTTGATTTTAAAGAAATAAATTAATTTCAGGCCTGAAATATTTTACTTTCAGGCCTTAAATTAATAGTTTTGTTAATGTAATTTAATACAGTAAAATAAGCCTTTAAATTAATATTTTCGTTAATTAAAATTTAATAATTTTCTTATACATAATAAAGTTTTTTTTAGTCAGTATATATAAACAAACAAATATTTTAACACTTTTTAGTTAAAAAAACGCATTATTGTATTTTTTAATAATTTTTTTAAACAATTTTTAAAAGATCTCTCCAACCGCTGCCATAATTTTTCTTCTAACTAAATTA